AGGAGAGAGGAGCGATCGATAGTACACTAGGGCCATAAATTAAGTGTCTCTTCCCGCATTCATTCTTCTTTCTGAACACATGCCTCGTTCAAACTCCGCTTTCATATTAATGCGTGAGTGGCGCCCTTCCGTCTGAGTGAAAAGAATGCCGGGATTTGAAAGGAGAGGCAACGCGCGCTCTTAACGCCGTACGTTGTCTCGCCGGCTGAGGTGTTGGCGCGATTCCGATGTGTGTGCGTTTGTAAGGATATATTTGTTTGTTTCTCTCTTTCATCATCATCATCAAAGGGGCTAATGCCGACGAAGGCGCATAGCCGCATCCACCCTTCGTTTCCACCTACGATGATCCCTCATGGCAAGACGCCAGGCAGGGACTCCGCCAATCTCGAGTTCTTCATGACAGGTTTGGTCGATCTGCCCAAGCCTCGACTCCACCCAGGGATGCCTCGAACAGAGATGACCTGATGGGCAGGATCATCTTGAGGAAAGCAAGCCAGGTGGCTGTATAGCCTGAGTTGGCGATCACGGATTGTGCAGATAACAGGTCCTGTGCCAGCCTCACGGTGCAACCGTTGGATGGACACATGGTCCCGCCAACAATACACCATGATCCGGAGCAAGGACCTATTGCAAAAGGCTTCAAGACGAGCCTCCAAGTCACAGGATAATGTCCAGGTTTCACTACTGTATAGCAAAACTAGCATTATCAGGGCCTTGAAAACCCGTAGCTTGGTCCTTCTGCACAGGTACCGACATCTCCAAATACTCTTGTTGAGAGAGTTCATGACCCCTGCTGCCAGGCCAATCCGTCTGCTGACTTCAGGGTCTGACAGCCCAGAGTTATGAACTACACTACCAAGGTATGTAAAGCTCTCCGTGACTTCAGTGTCCTCGCCGCAAGCACGTACCGACTTGCAAGTCCCCAAATTCCTGGACCTTGGTCTTGGTCCACCTCCAGACCCAAGGGTTTCACTTCATTGTTAAATGCATCGAGAGCCACCACTAAGGTTTCCAAAGACTCAGATAGAATGGCAACATCATCAGCAAAGTCAAGGTCTGTAACCTTGATATTGCCCAGCGTTGCTCAACAATGACTTTGAATAGTAGCTCTGCCCAGTATCCAACTCTTTTCAACAGTAAATGTTGAAAAGAGTTGGCGCAAGGACACAGCCTTGCCTCACTCCTGAACCAACAGGAAAGAAGCTCAACAGGCCCCCACCACACTTTACAGCACTTTCAGTACCAGTATACAGGCTTGCTATTAGTCCAATAATCCTTGTTGGAATTCCTCTCAGCCTCAGGATCTCCCAGAGTGATTCCTGATGCACTGTATCGAACGCTTTCTCGAGGTCGATGTAGGCTGCAAGCAGCCCACGCCCGAACTCAAGGTTGCGTTCTACAATGACTCGAAGCGCAAGGATACAGTCTATTGTGGACACTCTCTTTGTGTGTGCGTTACTTTATGTACATGCGCGTGTGCAAGGGTATATGTGTTTATCTTCGTTTGTTTGGGTGTATGGTTCTGTGTGTTAGTTTTTGTCTAGGTGTGCAAAGGTATGTGCGTCTAGGTGTTAGCAAAACTATTTTCTCAAGACGAGAATGCTAATAATATCCTTTTAATATCAATGACAACGTCTTAATCATTACTATTATCGCAATTATCACAGCTATTATTATTATCACCATTTTCATCATGATATTCATGATCATCATCATAATGACAGTTACAAGTATTATTTCTGTATCACTTTTAATGAATCCTCATCACCATCGTCATTATCATCAATATCATTATTACCATTGTTATTTCTACTACATTTCTTATTATCATTATTGTGCTTGTTATAATTACAATTATCATGATCATTATTGTTGTCTTGGTCGTGTGGGCCCCGCCCCCCGAAACAAAGAGGTTAAGTTCTGTGTTTTGACGTTTTTTCTGAGGAGCTGGACGTGATCCTTTTCTTTTATTTGCGATCATGATTTATATACTCATCTTAATTATGTGTCATCTTAATCAATTTCATAATTTAAGCAATTAATCAAGTGATGATTAACTTTTTCTGTTAAGTTTTCACATGAAGATTCGTAAAGTTTTTTTTTTTCATGATTTTTAAGATGCATTCATTTACTACTTCGTCTTTATGATTATTACAAGTAAAACCTAAAGGAACTAGTTTACACGAACGAACTCCATAGGCTGAACGTGAAGGAGTTTTTTGTGTGCCGAGATGCTTCACGCTGCCACTGCACAGCATCTAGTCACGATGAACCCACACACATACACACATACACACATGCTAATAGCCATGATGCAAAGAACACCTCACATAGTTATTGATCATGTTTTCACATTGAATAATCCATTCGTTTACCATTTACATTCATTAAATCTAATTTCCACTATCCATTTCTCCGCTTAAGAATTTACTTGTTCGTGCATCTGGTCATACTCATTATATAAGGTTCATATGTTCATGTGTATATATATTTTTTGTCATAAATAGAATTTACTAGCTTTGCAGGTAATCATCCTTATATTTCGGAGAAAGCTGACTGGCTGACTGTAGTATAGGATTATC